GATGCTTCAAACATGTGCTACTGTCATCCTTAAAATATATCAACTTAATCGTGTTTACGTTTTTTGCAATTGGTTTGTGGAAAATTGCTGGATTTTTAATTGCTCGTCGATTCGCGTCCATCGTTATTTTTTTGCTATCTTCTCAATACTTCGATTTCTTGTTGTGCTCGAGAGCTCTTGCTCCATCACTTCTTTTTGTCTTCGCAAAATTCTATCTTCCATCGAAGATGTTCAGGACTGTCGTTTCTTGCATTCGGCACACTCGTATTCTCTCGAAATTCTCATTTGTCTCTTTCTTTTCTTTCTTCTCATACTTGCAACATCTATTCACCTATCGGATCTCTATCAAAAAGCCTCTCACTATCAGTCCGATTTTTATGTCTGCTATTGATAGACCTGTCTGCTCTTGTAATATTTCTTTTAATTCGTTGACTGTAAAATCGTTTGGATTGTTCTCCACGTTCTCCATTCTCTCTCACTTGTTACTTCTCGTCCAAAAATTGTTATATTTCGATTCGTTGCTCTTGTGTGAAACAATTCGCAATCTTCTATCGCGAATAGTGTTCGCAATCATTTTTATCGTTACAATTTTAGATAGTGCATTCTAAAAGGAAAGAAAGATTACATACTGACAAATCAAAAGAAAATCAATTGATTGGAAAATAAAGTGCAGTTTTATGATAACACGAATTTTTCACACAAATTTTCTAAATTTATGTTAATATTTAGCTCCTAGGGGATCGCGATAACCCCTGTGCTGCAAGTAAGAGTCAGGAACATATTTTTCTTCCGCACTCTCAAGTGGAAAGAGACACGTCAGTATCAGACTCCTTTTTAAAATGCTCACGCCAATAACGCTGGCTCTGATCCACAGGGGACTCATATCATAAATCGTAGACCGCAAAGGCGAACCGAGTCGAATATTTTCCGCGGTTTTTACATATATATTTTTTTTTTACAAGAAAAATATATTTAACGTTCGAAGTCTTTTCTCTTCTCGCTCGTCGAAATATTTTTCTGTTCGTACTATTAATTTAGCGGTATTAATCTGGATGAAAATATTTTTAAGACATGCGATGAACGCACGGATTCACCGGCGACCCTGTTTGGGTGTCGTCTTTTTCTCGCCGACGGCATTGTGTGTCACCGACATTATTAAAGCCTCTGTACACTTTCCGCGATGCACAACCAAAGGAGTCACTGTCGGAATTCCGGCATTTCTCTTTCACAAGGTGTATCGCGACTGGATAGAGCTGTTGCTTTGAATGAAAAGGGTGCTGCTGCGAGGTGATGAAAAGGATGATTCTTGCTGTCCGCCAGTTGAAGGCAGCAGATGTCACGATGGCGATTATATGCGGACAAGAACGATTCTTGGCGTGTAAAATGTAGAGTTCGTATTTCGCACTTTAAAACTTGCACAGTCGTGCGAATGTACATAATAAATTTGTATTTTCGGCAGCTCTGACGGGGATGAAAAAATGCAATTGTATTTCCAGCATTCGTGCGATTAAATTATCGGGTGAATTTGAGCCGCGTGTAAAATTGCGAAACCTAATAATATATTACGTTTCTTTTGTTCAAGAGATTTTAATTACATTAATGTTAATGTTAACGAGACTAATTAATGTATTGGAAAAAATATATATACGAGTATTTATACGTATGAATATATAACGTGCGTCTTTCTCGATGGCGATCGAAGAATCGTTTCTCGATCGCTTTACAAAAGATGTTTAGGATAAATTTTTTAATCATCGGTCATTATCACGGAGTGAACGCAAGGATGAATCCTTGACATTTGGGGTCCAAGGTTCTGCGATGCCGGCGAGGCACCGCTTATTATTATACGGCGCTCGTGAGTCATGCTATGCAGCATTGCAATCGTAGGATACCTCTCTACCGGGTGATCTCAGGGGGAAGTGAAGGGCCCGAATTGCCGACATTGTGAACACGCCTGTTAAGCCGCGCGTATGCGAGTCAAGAATGAAACGCGAGTCTGGCGCAGCGTCGAGCGCCTCTTGACGCGTTTAATCGCACGCGAGAAGAGATATTCCAATACATATAATGTGTATTCGTATAATTTCTTATAATATCTTTATAAAGATGATAAAATTGAATTTTGTTAAATTTTTTGGCCCTTAATTGTCGATTCGGTAATAAAATCAAAATTTTGATTCTTATCTCCGGTTTCATTGATATCTTGTAAAACATTTTTCTAAGATTTCTCTTTTGAAAATCACATTCAAGGTATTTTTAGTCAATTGATATTTTATTCAGCAATAATTTTTTTAGTAGCCTCTTTGAAAGGTTTCGTGACAAAATTTTTACCATATTTAGTTATCTGTTACCTTTACTGCCTCTACACGAGTTAAATACCGATGTCCGATATTAAAAATTCGCGTACATCGATCTGCATAATTAATCGTTTTGAATATCTTTATCTTTATGTCTTTGTCATTGATGATATTAATATCACGATGTGTCGCGGATCAAGCAAAGGTATCGAGCACTATTAGATTTAAGCAGCCTCTTATCAAGAAAAGATGCATATCGCGAGGTCACGACTTTCGAGATGCCTTTGTGATATTAAATAGCAAAGTCTTCGATAGGGATTCTATCCTCGAATCTTTTATTCCACTGGGAGAGATAATTCTTTTGAGATCGCGCGAGTTTCTGCGAAGGAGTCGTAAAAAGACCTACTTGAGATTCTGAATCTTAAAGGTATTTTACAAATTACAGATTAAAAAAAAAACGCAGATTCGAAATGGATGTATTTTTTTAGACACCTCGTGTCATTAAAGAAAATATTGTAAAGTCCATTATCTGTATATAGTAAATGAAATTCACACGGAGAGATAATTTCACGGATAAATGAACTGCCGCAGTAACAGTGGCTTTGCTCGATGATGCGAATAATGTTAGGACAGCGTCGTCGATTAATCGATTAGTAGTAGCGTTGCTTTGACGACAACGCCTCTCGACGGCTTGTGATTATTGAATATTTAACGTTCGACATTTGACTTGCTCAGGCCGAGGGGCATCGCAGTAATCGCCACGATACGTGCAATTTGATAATTCTCTCTCTCTCTCTCGAGCCTTTGTCTTCTTCAGATTTAATGCTTCATCGATTCTCTTTGGAATGCATCGTCCGTAATGTTCCACTTCGGATTCCGTTCGCTGTTTCCCTATATACCGCATACCTGTCATACCGCATTTATATCGAGATAAACAACTCGTGGCTCTTCCTAGAGTTATATTTGTGTATTTTTATGTTTTACCCCGCTCTCGCTCACTCAAAAATATTTATTTCATATCATGTAAAATGTATATATATATGGTATATTTGCATCGGGTAACGCTTCGCTGCATCGAGAGCGATCTTTATTTCGCTCGTAGCAACGCAATTTTCGCGGTGATGTATACTTCGAAAATGTGTTAATCTCGCGCGATGATAAATTTACCCATCGCCACGGGGAACGGTATCAATCGTCAGAGACGTGCGATATACGACGCCGAATGCATCATGAATTTTTCCATAATATATACATGAAAACGTGGCATACGATATTAATGAGTTTAATGAATCTAATAAGTACTATTATTATTATAGTAAAACATGCTGTAAGCAAACATTTCGTTGAACTGAACGAAAATCGTGATAAAAATCAGAAATAAAATTTGAAATTTTGCATATTGCGCGACTGCACGTGACACAAAATGCAGTTAATTATGTATTATACTTTTCAACCGTTTGTGAAAAGATATGAATAATTAATTTAATAAATTCACACCATTAATTACACATGCGCATGCATACTAAAATGTATAATGATATGCACTAATTGAATGTATAACGTGTAAATGAGTAGATATTTCGTTTCCACTTTTATTGCACATGTAGTTCTTTTCATTATTTTTCAAAATTAGTTTTCTAGGCAGTCCAAATTCTAGCATAGCCTGTACAGTCTTTCTCGAAACATACGCGTTTTTTAAAATCTATAATATTTTTCAATATCATGGTATCATCTTTTTTAGCATTTGTCTCGCGGAGGCGGAATTTTTCGATCATTTTACTGCAACAAACTGATATTTCTAATTTTGAAATTTGACATTAATTTTTATATAATCTTATAAAAACCAAATTACAAAATTAAAGTAATATATAAATGTGATAATATTAGTAATAATTATATTAGACTAATAAAATTATTATTATCGACAATTCATCATTAGAAATGAATGATTACATAGACAGCGAATAATGACGACGATAAAAAGGAATGATTTAATTGGATGAATTCTTCTGATTTTTCTCTTTCGGGGAAAAAGAAACCCCTGCCTAACTTTCTTCGATGTATCATCAATCACGTAACTCGGTCGCCGAGGATTTTTGGCGCCAGAGGGTAGATGAGGTGAACGGATACGATTTTTATAGCACACCCTGTCACATGGAAAGCATTTTTTCGGTACCGCCTACGGTCATCGATGCGCGACATAAAACATATAAAAGAAATATACTTCATATATAAGAGGACTGCCTCGTCAGAGCATGACGCTGTTTCATGCTATGACCTTCGGGGCACCCTAAATGCTAAGAAGTAATGATGCAAGAAGAAGTTGATGTAATCGAGCATGGATTATCCGTAATATCTTTTACATGATGAAATATTTAAGAGGTCGTCAATGTGCGTATTTAGCGGAAACATTGTGGCTATGTAATGTTTCGTAAAATTTTATTAGTTTATGCGTGAAAAACATGGATCGTAAAAATGAAAAGTATAGAATATTTTTATCGGAATATTATAGATATAATATTGTGAAAAGAAATGATTATAGCTTCTTTAGTAATTCTCTATTAATAATAATAATACTAACGATTACAGAACGTAATATAAAATTATTATTTGGTAATTATGAAGTAGTGACAAGTAGTGAAAGAAGCATTTCTTTTTTTCTAATAAATTTATATGTATAATCAAAATACATAATTTCCGACTTACTTGAAAGAAAGAGATCCTGGAGGGCCTGGGCAGCCTGGCAGAGGAGAGCCCATGTTTCTGCAGCAGCGAGTCCTGTGCCTCGCAGGGTAAGAACATCCCCTGCCACTACTGGGAGTTCTGGGAGTTCGGTCAGCTCCGTTGGCATTCTGTAAAAGAAAATGTTTTAACATAATTAATACTTCATAATTATTGAATAGTTGAAATATAAAATTTAATCACATAGATGGTCTTTATATTAGGCGGCCTTACAACAAAAAAAATGTAAAAATACAATTTTCTAAAATTGTAAATTGAAAATATTAGTCAAAAATATTAGTCGAAAATTGTTGGGTAAAGATTTCGCTACTGGGGTATTTTATTTTGGTTTACACGATAAACACGTGCAGGATCGAAGAAATGACAGTGTACTAATGTACTTCACACATCCTGTGTCTCGAATAAACAAATACAAACACGTCGAGGTGTGCATATGAAGCTATCGGGCTTGTTGCTTGCTCAGTCTCGTTTATATTAGCTCCTTTGTTCGTCGGATGTGTCGCCGTGGTTTGATGTACTAGACTAGGGAATGAGCTACCTACCATTTTGCAAATGTTATGTTCCTTCATTTTCCTGACACCATATCGTATAATATATCATAGAAGCGCGGAAAAGATTTTGATTGCAAAAACAATTTATAATTATACATGATGTAATTTTACTATTATCAAAAATATCTTTTCTATCGAAACTTGACGCAAACGTATTATAGTTTTGACAAGATTGGTTTAAATCATATTTTTCTGATCTCTATATTAATATTATTTAATATTACATTATATTTTTATATAAAAGACTCTTCAAATATTATTCCAAAATATTTTAAATATTATTTCAAGCATTATTATCAAATTGTTGCACGTATGAGTTTTTATAACGTCGTGAAAATAGAATTAAAAAATGTGTATTGTTTCATAAATAATGCTTTTCCGATCAAAATTGACAAGTTGTATTCAGGGTATATTTTTTTGCGGTTTATTTTTTGGAAATAAGGGATACGCGCAAATTTATCGATCAAAAGTGAAAAATTCCGCAATTTTCCGCGAATTTATTTTTTAATCAAAAGCGCGGCGATGCGACCGTCGTGATTCTTCTTTGTCTCTGTCCGCATACAGAGCTAGCAGCCGCGAATCTCGACGTCATATGCACATCCCGAAGAACAATCAACAGATGTGCCGTCGTCACAGAAAACAATAGACGTCAGCTCCATTTTCAGTGATGTTCTCCGCGACTGCTCTTTCAAGCAAAGTAATGCGGGCTATCGTTATCTGCCCTTCGCCGAGCACCCTTCGTTGAGAGAGAGAGAGAGAGCACCCTCCGTTGATTTCTGTTCGACCATGTTATGAGAAAAGAGCTGTGTCTCGTGTACTCGTCTGTCGCGCTTGTTCGTGCGATGCGTGGGTCATGTTTGTGTTGCATCAAAATTTAATACACTATCCAATTATTATGTCGAACTGTTTCACGTGAAAAGTAAGCCGATCAAACGTTGTTATTCCAATCTTATGAAAGAGCTTATCGTAAAGGGCTCAAAGAAACTTTTGAATATTATATATCTATCGTTTTCGTCATAGGGAATAATTAATTGCTATTTTGTGATTATAATTATTATCGTTAAATTATCATCGTTAAATATAATATAAAAAATATCTTTTAGGAAATGGATATTGTCTTATTGGGAGATTATTTTCCATAATAAAAAATAAACGTTTATATAGCAGGTATCTCGAGACGGTCTGATAGTCTGTGAACACGCGCATGCAAGTTTTAGATTATCGAATTTCCAGCAAAAATAGATTTCAGATAGTTCATATCTTTATATATATATATATATATATATATATATATATAGACATATATATTATGGTCCCTTGGGTTTCCTTGGGCTTTAAGCTCTTCTGCACTTCTCGCACTTCTAACTTAGTCAGCTGCGATTGTCCTTTCTATTATGCGATGATCATGCGAAATTTCCACATGAACGAAAACGCGTTCTTTATTTTCATGCGCGGAACAAATCTGTACAACTCTGCAACAACTTCGATATCATTCTCGATATTGAACTTTGCGATTAAATTGGCCGATAAAAGAAATAATCGAAATTGCAAATTGTAAATGAGAATAGTCTATATAAGTGAGAAAATACTTTGAAATAACAAATCGCGCTGAAATTATTTTATCATCTCTTTTTTGCGAATTCTACTTTTATTAGGCAGACATTTTTCGATTTTGCAATTTCATTTAATTGACACGACTGTTGGTATGACTATAATTGTGATTAGTTCCATAGCGGGATGGCTGTCAATTTACAGCGCGTCCGACTTTATTCGATCAGGTGTGCGATCGTTCGTTTCACCGACATGTGTATTACGAAGTTATCATCACGAGCAGAAATTTCCCGCTTAGCATGCGCGCATTCACGCTATTTACAAGCGGTTCCCATTAACAAAGTTATAAATCAAACGCAATCTCCCAGGTGTAACTTTCCTGGTGGTATAATTAAGCAGTAATTAAGGCGACGCATTCTCTGGCGCAATTATGATCGCAATTATTTGCAACAAGTAATAAACATCTCGATTAACTCCTCGCTTTAAGTTCATATATGTTGCGATTGTGATGTTTTATTTGATGACACTGGCTTACCGGACATATATATATTGGTATACTATCGTATATTATCTTCAGATCGTTTCCAATCAATGAACCATCGTAAAATATATCGATTTGTCCGATGATGGATATTCGAGTTCGTATATCCTGAAGTTTAAAGTAGCAGATCGTATTGTGACAGTAGGATTTATTGCGGATATTGCTTGGACTGTTTCGTTGTGATATTAATCAAATTTTTTCTTTTATTTGTTAGTCACTGTTTTCGATATTATATTGTCATCGATAGTAAATGTACTTATGTGTGTGTGTGTGTAATATTTTTCTAATTTTTTATTCAATTTTTGCTTATTCTATCATCTTTCAAGATGTATAAATTTATATCAACTCAAATCATTTTAATATTAATGAAATTTTGCTATTTTTTTATTATATGTATACGTGTTCTAATATAATTGACACTTCAACATTAAAAGATAGATAACAAAACAACAAACAACTCAAGTACATATCTCTGCTTTTTATAGGAAACATTATATGTGCTTTTTAATCTCATTTTATTGTTGTTGACATTCGCCAAAAAGTTAAAGCAGCATCCAATTTTAAAACTTTCTGCCTTCTTTAATAACACTGTTTGTTCTCTGCAGCATATCGTGTATCAAGTCTGATTTCTTCTGGCAAGTGCTGGAAAGAAACTTTGCTGAAATTAATTTTCTGCGAAAAATATTCTGTTTTACGAAGCTGGGCGCCGGTTTTTCACGGAATTAACTAGCGATAAAGGCGAATATCGGAAATAATTAACGAGCCAATTCGGGTAATAGTGTTAAACTTTTTATTGTACGCAATAAGCAAATAAGCACGCAAGTCGTGTAAAACAAACCAATTTTTCTAAATCTTATTCTTCAAAAATGTATCTTTGTTTCTTTATATATTCATATATTTGATTGATATTTATTTATTGTCTGACGTACATATTTATTAAATCTACCAGCGCATATAACGAATTTCTAAATTAATTTTCTTCAGTTTTATAAAGTTCAATATTTAAAAATAATTCGATCTTATTTTTTATTTTTATAATATCTAATTTATAATTATTACTAGCACATACACATACATATTATAATTATCATTTTAGGTATAAACTATATTTTTTAATTAAGCTCCGAATGTGACACACTACATTCGAATGTTCTATATATATTTTAGTATTCTCGACCATGAATAGACAAACCATTCATGCAACTCGGTCACCTTTTATGCAATGCCCAAAGCAGAACTTGAGCGTAGAATTATGCAATATTCGAATTCGGTCAGTTTAAAGAGGCAACCTTGAATGCTTTTGACAGATCCGATACTTCATCCAAGTTCCGATAATCGATTTCAGCTAATCAGATGTGCATTGAATATTCTCCATTTATTGCAACGGTTCATCGAACATCATTATTAATTTTCGTTACTATCCCCGTTTATTTCTAAATCGTTAAATCCGGTACAACGAAAACACTGGTGCAGCAGATCGGGAAAATGCGCGTACAATAAACACACTCGTTACGAGTAATCGTGGAAGCAGGGGCGTTTAATTAGCGGACAATCGGTTAGCATTGACGAGCAGCTGCAATTCCGTGTGATTTAATCAGAATGCGAATTAAACTGTAAACGGTGTACAATGCCCGGAAAATTCCATCCGCGCTTGTAATCGAATAAGCATTGTGTGTTGTGCATGTGTGTCGTGACTTTTGCGTTTTCAAATCGAAAACGTCAATAGGGACAATTTAGCCGGGCCCGGTCTACGATATACGATACTCCTTTATAGAACGTAGCAATTCGGTTTGGAAATTGATTTTCGGATACGGAACGGTGGTTCACATCGGTTATTCATGAGTCGCGTCGAGATTCCAACTATAGTCAGCTATATCGCGATTGACAGATAATCAGCTGATTCGCGCGCGCGCGCGCTTTTCGCACTATATTCTTATATAAGGCGTGTTTCAAAATTCACTGCCAGCGCTGAAAAAATACTATAAAATACGTAGCGTGAACTATGGATTTTCAGCACTGGTGGTGAATTTTTTGAAAGCCATACTCACCTTACACATTGTCGATCGGCGCATCATAGCGCGGTGGCGTCCGCGCCGTGATGATCTCATGTGGCGCGAAAGCATGCGCTCGAGTACCGGGCAGGTAGTATACGAGACAGGAGACCCCGACGAGGAACAGGAAAAACAGGAACACGAGATCGAACATCAGTAGGGAGTTCAAGGTCATCAGCTGCATCGTGCGCGTGCAACTCGCTCCACCATTACACGCGTGCACCCACGCACCAACCAACCCGTTGCGTATATCACTACCTATTTTCTCTCTTTTCCCTCTCTCTTTATTTCATCACGTGTATACTCCCGTCTTTCTCTTCTTAGTTTGTTCGATCGAAACTTTTCACGGGTCTTTCGGTGTTCGAAGATGTGTTTAACTTGGATAAAAACGGCTTTACTTAACTGCGAACGTAGCAATCGCTAATTTTTCTATAAAACTGTTATATGTATCGTATATATTTTTTTAGATAATTGTTTTACAATTTGAAAGGATAATAGTGAAAGTTAATTTAATATTAAGAAAAAATTAAATTGCGTGAAAAGTTTCACTGTGTGAAAGCTAATAAAATATTATATCTAAAAAATTTTTTTTTCTTATTAGATTACAACGTTGTTAATATTCCATTAGATGTATACTCTCGTCTTAGTTTGTTCGATCGAAACTTCACGAGTCTTCGGCGTTCGAGATGTGTTTAACTTGGATAAACACGGCTTTACTCAATTACGGACGTAGCAATCGCTAATTTTTCTACAAACTGTTATACATATTATATATTTCTTAGATAATTATTTTACAATTTTAAAGGATAATTATAAGTTAATTCAATATTTTAAGAAAGAATTGAATTGCGTAAAAATTTCACTGTGTGACAATTAATGAAATATTATATCTAAAAAAAATTTTTTTTCTCGGATTATATCGTTGTTAATATTCATGCTGCTAAATTTGGAGTGAAACGTTTTGATGCGATAAAGTTAAAAAAAAAATAAAGTTTTTAATACTATAGAGAAAAAGCAATTAGTGAGCAATCAAAAGTATACACTCGAACACTATAAACGTAAACGAGAATGAAAGTAATGGAACGGTTTTTTTTTGTTTTTACAATAGAACCTCGAACCTTTTCAAAACTAAAACTCGCCTTGCAATTATACGACTATTGACGACGTAGAGTATGCCGACAACAGCAACGAGATAATTGGATTTCCCACGAATTATTATTGAAAGTTATCAAAGCCAGTCGCGTCGGAATCGGCGAGTCGTCGTCACGCATTACGAATAATCACATAGGATAGGAATGCACATGTATCGATATCGACAAATTATGGATCTTTGCATCAGCATAAACGCGAAATAATTAGTCTCATTATCAATTTCATTTATCTAAGCGCATTTTGCCGCTCGGATAGTGATTCGCGTCACTTCAATGTAATTTTAATTATCATTGATACCCTTCGACTTGTACATAATTCGCGTACCAGAGAAAAGATCATTAAGTCTCGCCCATTGGAAATTAATTTCATGGATAGAATCGTCTAAATAATACGTAACTTTTGTGTCAAAAAGAAAAAAATTGGAAATAAAAAAGCAGAATTTTTTTTTGATATTAAAGGCATACATTATATTATGATACTGTTAAATATTCAAGATTCATAAGGAAAAGTTTTCAAGAGCAGTTCGTATAACGAATTAAACGAATTTCACAATTGCGCGCATTTCCATTATCGAATAAATTGCATAGGGATATCACATGAGTTTTATATACGATCAGCTTTATTCTACTCGTATATAAAACTCGCGAGATATCCTATGCTATTCATCCGATAATGGAAATGCGTACGATTGTAAAATTCGTTTAATTTGTTATGAACTGTTCTTTGAAACTTTTCTTTATGAGTAATTAATTAAGTATAATGTTTTGAATTTAAAAATGCTGATCTATGTTTCTTACATTTTTTTTGACAAAAATTACATCTTATTTTAATGATTTTAATTAAATTTCTTTCCAATAGGTGAAAATTAATGATTTTTTATCTGATAAATGGCATTGACGACATTTCAACGATCTCTTTGATACTTCTTTATATAAGTTTTATTTCGAGATAATTGCCACTAGAATCTCGCGGAAAAGATAGATAAATCAAATACATTGCTCAAGGGTTTATTTAGTTCGTTTAGCTGATATGTCTGACGAAGTGAGAGGCTACCTGATCTTTTTTCGGTACAATAGCCACGAGCAATTGAAAGCGCTAACAATACAGCGGAACGCTTTAAGGGCAGAAGACAGTGAACGAGCCAATTGACGAGAATTAGTTGCAGTTTTGAGCTAACAATAAGATATGTTCCACATCACATCGAGCATTATTCGACTGAGAGAATATAGATCACACATACAAATTCCAAGTCACAAACCTTAATGAGGGATTTTTGCGATCTGCGATTTAAAGAGAGTTTAATACATAATTTATAAAGCCGGGTTAGTAGTCGTATTTAATAATAAAATATATTTCGATCTCTTCGTTCTATAATAGTTGTGGTCACGACAGGATTATGATATCGAAAATATATTCGGAGTTTTCAATTCTTTCTTTTTTTTTTCTCCCCGAATCTACTACGTCGAGTGGTCGAATCGTGGACGAAGGATTGCCCGTATCGACATCGCTGTATGCGGTCGAGTGATTTTCCAGTTACGCAAATTTTCCAGTATCCACCGGCATGTTCAGTGGGTCTGGGCGATGCGCCGACTACCGGCGGAAATTTACGGGATGACATAATTTCCGCGCGACCCGATGCGCCCAAAAGGCGGTCCTCATCCTCGCGTCAATCGCCCATCCGTTTCTCGGAACACCCAGGAAAATTCGTGAATCATTGTCTGCGGAAACGCGAGAATCGTAGTTCGATATGGCAAAATGTCTTTCGCGGTAGTATTTTTTTCCTATCGCATTTATCGTCGTTTTGCTGTGAAATTATCACGGATTGAAAATACACTGCTAAAAAATTTAATATTTTTTTAAATGTTTTAAAATATATAATATATAATATTATATTTTAAAATGTATAAAAATAAATGTATTGGATCTATTCTTATAATTAAATTTGTCTGCCTTACGTCTCTATTAGGTTCTTTAAGTAGTGTAAAATTTTTTATAGATTGCAAAATAGAAAAGTAGTAATCGAATAGCACTGCAAATTAATTCAGAGGTACTATTAACGAACTGCGGAAGCTCTTCGTTCGCGGTCTCATTGGTCTCCATATCTCATTAAAATCAGGAAGTCGCTTGGGTTCTTAATGAAGCTTCAGTAAAAAGAATTAGCCTCGCTTTTCTCTTATCACATTTCTTTCATTGTTGCATTCAACCTGGTGCGAAGATTTTATTTGACTTCAAGAATCAAAAATTCAACTATTTAAAATCTAACATTGTTATCTGAATTAATCAATCTTCAAATTCTGAGAAAATATATATTTTTGTTTTATATTATTTTTTTATATTTTTGTAACATGGTTTATTGTTGAAATTACAAAACTAAGATAGAAATAATGTAAAAAAAACTTTGTTTTTTTAAGGCAACGTTTCCTAAAATTGCCACTTTTGTTCAAAGTTATTTTAGAAAAATAGTATTAAAATAGAAAATATTTTTCCAAATTAATTTTAATTGACTTTCAATAAAATGTAACATCATATAATGAATGTGATCGTATATACAGAACGCGAAAGATAAAATCGCAGTCGAAAAATAAACACTCTCCTTTTCATTCAGTCCTTTTTATTTTCTCATGCTCATTCACTTCCTACTGTATTTGCAAAGTCACTTCCTTTACTTTCTCCTTAAAAGAAGATAAATTCTCATGGAAAGATTGATAGAAGCAGTGCGAAAAGATATCTCGATATTTACTTTTCAACGACACATCTTTTCTAAGAGCATAATTTTTTATTTTTGTATATAATGGAATAGCATTTTCGTGTACAATCCACCTCCATTAAAAATTATTTAAAATTTGCTGATAAAATTTAATACATTTTGCATGAAATGGCACAATAATTTTTTTTTTAATAAGGTACAATTATTTTTTTAACAAAATATGTCAACATTCATTCAATATTTGTGTTGCAAAAATGTAATTCTAATTAAATCCTAATTAATAATCTTAAAAAGTAAAGTAGTTTTTCGACATTTTAAAAATTATATTCAGACCTTTTTTTAATTATTGATAGAATAAATGGAAGATGAAATAATGACGTTTTTGCATTTCGAGAAGAAAAGATTATGATTACTTTTCTCGCATAATTTAATTTCATTTTTTTACGATACCGACAAATTAATAAAAGTTGATTAAAGGGGATAATATCTGTTTTAATTTCGTTTAGAAATGTTTCAGGATGAGATTGTTTTCGTGATAATACTTATTCTCTCAGAAGATTCTTTCATAAATCGCACCATTTCCGCAGGGAATGATTACTATGGGAGTCGATTCATGGGAGCCTAAATTCCCCTAAATTCTCGTTCACTCTCTGCGAAATCTCACGACACCTCCTTTTATTTTTTTCTGATAACGGTTTTTGTGTAGTTGAGCAAAAATGTCGACAGGCTTTTTTATCTCGTATCAGCAGAAATAGCATGTTATTTCCTCTCTTCCCTTTTTTATATCACATATTTAAATGGAAACTGAATAAAAGAATAGGAGTCTCTATAATAATCTACAGATGATCGAAAAAAAAAACGAACAAATATTGTTTGACAAAAGAAATTTGTATCTCCAACCATCGATTAATTTCTATTCGTCGGAGAGCTCATCTTGCAAAATGCTCCAGTTATGCATGCGGTCGCTTCTTCGTGCAATTTGCACGATGATCTTTCTTTTTTTAGCTTTTAATTCCTCTGAAATTCCACGTGAAATGTCATACTTTATTCTCTCGCTAACAAATTGCGACTATATATTACACATAGAACTGTCTTCTGAAAAATATTTTTTCTAACAAGCTCTTATTTTTAATTTATTTTGAGTAAATAAGTTTTAAATTATATAAATGTGAATTTTAAACAACAGTGTCGTATATTTCAAAAGCACAATATTTTAGAATATTTGGGGGTATTTTTAGAAACTTATTACAGTATTGTGATTACACTTTTTGAGATGAAGAAATATCGCATGTAATATAAGAATTATGACAAAAGCGATATATTTGTGAATCTAGGAAGAATGAATTTTTCTTCTTCTTTAATGTTACAATATTGTCATGCTTATATTTTTGGTAATCAGTTATCGTTGTTCTCGTGACGTTAATTGCCAATTAAAATTGGGCGGCCTTTCTGGTGATTTTTTTCTTTTAAGATTTGTTGTCCTTTATTCTCATAAATCTTTCCTCTCTCATCCTACTTACACAGTGCGTCTACACAAAGCTTTAGGACTATATTAATTAAAAATAATAAA